TTATTGTAACATTTAGTAAAAGTAAAACTTTATTTTCTTCCAAAGAATACAACTTAAATTGCTTCTTTTCAGCAAACAAACATAAACAGTATTTATCTTCCAGCCACATCCAAGATTTGTCTCAGCACCGGTATCATCTCCCACCTCAGGGTTAGAGCCTCAGCCTGCTCATGACCAGACACCCCGCAGACTCACACCTCCCTGTGTGATGATGGTCCTCCTGGCCTTTGTGCCACAGACCCTCCTGGCCTCGCCCACACACCGCGTGTGCCACAGGGCCTCTCTTGGCCTCTCCAGCCAGACTCCATCTCAGTGTCTCGTGCGTCACATACACACAGTCTCCCAAGCCCTGCATGTGCTCCTGCACCACTGACTGCCTCTTCCTCTCTGTCCACTCTCTTGATAGGGCTGTTATCAGCCACCTGGACCCAGGACTGGAGATTTCCTCCCGCCCGAGACTCTTTGAAATCTCCAGAGACCCAGATCCCAGTTATACTCCAGAACATCCGGAAAGACCTGGAAACCCGGCTCCTTCCCTGTAACACTATATGTTTTCTGGACCCTCCTAGCCCCTCGGGCCAAGAGTCCTGGGCGCCAAACACCAATCACCATAGCGACAAGGCACTGTCCTGTCACAATATATATATATTGTGAGGATTAGCTCCAAACAGTAGTGCGTTAAGGACACTTCCACTCGCTTAAGTTTTCTTTTTAGGGCTTCTTTGCCCACTTTTATTGGTTCAAAAGTCAAAAAATATCCACACAGGTTTTCCCAACAAATAGTACACACAGTACTGGCAACAAAAACACTGATTAGGCTTCTTGGCTTGTACCTTCAGCAAACAAATCTCAGCAGTACTTTATACAGCAATGCCATTTTTCCAACTTTTTTTTTTGTGTGGTTGCTACAGGGGATGTGGGTTGGGGGGTTTGTGGGGTTTTGTTTGTGGGGTGGGGGGCAAAAATAATCTTGCACCAGGGCCCTTTATTCCCTAGGTCCGCCACTGCCTTCAGCATCTGGCCGTTTGGACCCTCTGGTCCTCTAGCTTTGTCTGTTTCTCTCACAGTCACGCAGGCTGGTCCCCACCACACTGGTGTATTGCCACCCAGGCTGGTTCCAGGGTGGAGCCCTCCAGACCTCCTCTGTCTCCCAGGTGGACCCCTGTACGTTAACCACTGCATTCTCTTCATAATGGCGGACCCAGGAATGGAGATTCCATCCCTCCCAATGCTCTTTGAAATCTCCCAGTTCCAGGAACCCGTGCCAAATCCGGAAAACCCGGGAAGAACTGCAAAACCAGCTCTTTCCCTGTAAAAGTTAGCGTTTTCTGTAACTGCTCAGCCCCCCTGGCTGAGAGTCCTGGGTGACTATGTTGCTAAATAACACCCTGGCATTGCCACAATATATATATATATATACATACTGTGGGGGGAATTTATAAAAACTGGAGCAGACAAAACATGGAGCAGCTGTGCGTTGCAACCAATCAGCTTCTCTGTCTCATTTTCAAATCTTACCTGAGCAAACTGAAGAGAGATGCTGATTGGTTGCCATGGGCAACTGCTCCAGATTCTCTCTGCTCCCGTGTTGACAAATTCCCCCCTGTGTGTGTATATATGTATATATATATCAAACATAAATGAACAAAAATAAGAACTCAATAGATTAAAACAAGAAATATTTATATGTATTAAGTAAAATAATAAATACAAAAAAAAATAATCAAAACGTAATTTTTAATAGCTAAGGTTTTTTAAATTTTATTTAAATAACACAACAGCCAAGTGCAAATAGTCATTGTTGTAATCCAATTTATTTGTTCTGTTCAAATGCTTTAACATTGTTCTAAATTAGCTTCATCATTAACCCGGCAATAAATAACAAAGTGGCACAATAAATTAGCATTAGTGAAAAAAAAAAAAGGTTGAAGTTTAAATAAACAATTTAAATAATTAAAAAAAAATACAATTTTCTCTAGTTAATTGGCATTTAGTTTTCTGCTTTCTGGGGTTCTAATGTCTGCGGCCTTTCTGTTCCCTGAGGATAATGAGTAATAATAATAATAAGGCATAAACAAGAGCTCAGTATGATGTGTGGCTGGCCATTACTCCGAATGATGTTCTTCAGGCATGTTGTTTACTTTTGATCGTTTTTGTTCACTTTTGATGGCCACCATTCAGCAAGAGTTGGCTCACTGGAAGACTTGACCATTGTGGACCAATATGGCCCGTATTAAATTAACGGAACTTCATTTCACGGAAATGATAAAGATTAGAGATGGTCTATTTCTTCAAAAAAAGAAAGAAAAAACATCCCCAACACACAGGAGGATAAGTGTCCTTCCAAAAAGGTCCTTTCCCCTTCATCGTTCTTACCCCACTGTTAGGGCCCGTGTTGGTCTTGTGTCAATGGCATGGGCTTTTTTTGGTCCTTTAGGCCTCACAAGAGAAACGGCCGGTACGTACAGCTCCGTATCGGGCAGGTCCCGGGAAGGACAGGTGCTGCGTGTGATTAGTATGCAGCCCTCGTCCTTCTCTATGGGAGTACGCGGCCGTACGCCGTATGCTCACCCACCCTTCACGTCCGTATGGGTGCGGGTGTCCGTACTAGTAAGCTGACAGGATGGATCCTGTCTGCGTCCAAGCCGGGGCAACTGCACCCGTAAGGACCTGCACTTGGAGTGAGCGTAGGGCGGCGTGCGGCCACGTACACCCATAGAGAAGGAAGGGGGCTGTGTACTAATCACACGCAGCACCTGTCCTTCCCGGGAGCTGCCCGATACGGCCGTGCACGCAGCACCGGAGCTGTACGTGTGGGCCGTTTCTAGTGCGAATGAGGCCTTGTGGTCATTAAAAATTAATTGATAGGTGCACTTGACCTGCAGTTGACCTCCTTCTGACTCGCTTTTGACCTCAACGGGAATTTAGAAAACCCATTTGAAATGGCCCATTGACACAGGCCCTAAAAATGTTTGGCAAAAACAGCTGACAATGGTATTAACCATTTAATGGCCAAAATCAGCACCTTAGTTGCCTACGCGGATGTACTTTCAGACTTTGTAAGTTGATGTTCATTATAAATAAAAAAAATTTTTTTTAAATGGACCTAAAATCCATGTTAGAAAAACAGGAACCAAGAGGTATGTAGCTATTTATACACCAATTTGGCACAAAATGTAGCTTTTTGTAAAAAAAAATGTTATTAAACTTAAAAAAAAATAATAGAATTAAAATAAATATACCGTTAGAGAAAATCACATGCGATTCTAGAAACATTAACAAAAATATTGTTCTTTTTTTTATAGTAGCTCTCCCTGAGAAAAAAACCCAAAACATTTTTACCCCCTTCAGTAGCCATTACGTAGACTTCATATTTGCTTTTTTTCTGGCAAAATGTTAAAACTTTTTGAAAAGTAAATTTGCCATTTGCAATCGCGGCGAGTAGGGATGCACCGATACCGATACTAGTATCGGTGCCGATACCGAGTATTTGGGCGAGTGCCCAAATGCTCCGATACCTTTCCCGATACTGGAACTTCCTGTCAGAGGGAGATTTCCTCTGACCGGCAGTGCCGCGAGGGAACATGGAGCCGGGAAGCTGGCCCCATGCTGTTTGGGCCGGCTCCATGCTGATTGGCCGGGAAGCCAATCAATCAGAGTCGAGCCGGGCAAACAAATCTGATAATATGGCGACATGACCCCACCCTGCAGACAAATCATTCCCCTCACATAGATCCTCAGCAGCATTCATTACCGTACCAGTCCCTCGGCCAGCTGAGCAGACACCACTCTTCTGCCCACGTCTCCTGTGTGTACGGCGCCCGCGTGATCGGCCCTCAGCCTGCTACTGCGCATGCACAGGATTTCTGAATGCGAGCGCTGGGCAGTCTGCACATGCGCAGTAGGAGGCTGAAAGCCGATAACGCGGCCGCTGTGCACACAGGAGGCGTGGGCAGATCTCGGAGAGCGGTGTCTGCCCAGCTGGCCGAGGGACTGGTGCAGTAATGACGGCTGCTGAGGATCTATGCGAGGGGAATTAGGTGCCTGCAGGGTGGGGGTCGTGTCACCATATTGTCAGATCTGTTTGGCCGGCCTCGATGCCGATTGGCTGGGAAGCCGGCTTCAAGCCGGGCAATCAAGAAAGAAGCCGGGCGGTGGCTAATGACACGCCGCCTGGCTTCCTGATTGACTGGGAAGCCGGCTCTATGCTCCCTGAAGTACCAGTATCGGTACTTGGTATCGACGAGTACCGAAATATAAATATCGGTACTCATACTCGATACCGAAAAACCGGTATCGGTGCATCCCTAGTGGCGAGAACATGCTGATAATAAGTAGCTTTTCATTTTCATTATAAAATATTAACATTAAATAGACCTAATGGACTTCTGTTGCCTAAATTCTGCAAGTTCCAAAGTTGCATTTTTAAGCCACATTTAAAAAAATCTCTTTTATGAGACATCATTCTTTTTCTATTAGCTTAATATTTAATTTTACATTGTAATTGTTTTTCTTTTTGAACCAAAAATCAATTTAAAATCACAGCTGGAAAAATATTAATTATAAATACAAGGCATTTATAATTAACATTGTTTATTAATCTTTATGTAAAATACATTTCTAATTATTACTTTTAATCATTATAAATTATAATCAATAAA